TTTTTGGTTAAACAAAGTCTTATTGTAGATCTCTGACTTCGAAAAAGTTACTTCTTGTTTACAAGTTACTTGTTGTATAGTAAATCACTTCATTTAACGCATATAGCATGTGCTTCACGTTTTGTAAGTCCTTGGTTAAGAAAATTGGTTTTCTGCAAAACGTCTGTCGGTGTGTGAACAACATTGGCAGCTAAACCGTAGGCAGAAGTACCACCAGAATTGATATTCCGTGATCGATCTGACTAATGTTACCGTCCTTTGAATTTGAAATTGATTTTTGGTTTCGGGGGTTTTATACATAAAGTCCCAACTACACTTTAAAATATTCAAAACAATTCGAGCCATTGTCTCTTTTCTAGGCGCTGATACGTAGGAACTAGATAGAGGGTGGGGCAAATAGAACAAGCTAGCCCAGTCTAAAGATATTATGAAACTCACTAATACGAGAATATCTGTGCCATTAGCTAGCCCAAAAAAATTGTAATCAACAATTGGTTAATATTTAATGTCATTCCAGATTAAAAGGTTAGGAAACGAATTAGTTCCATAAAGCTTATGCTATTCTGTTTTACTTCTACCTATAGTTTAACTTGCACTTCTCTACGTCTACTCCCTATTTTACCTATTCTTCTACTTCTACATTTTCACTCCTTTCTTACTTCTCATTTGAATTCCTTTAATATTGATACAAACGTGATACGTAATAAAGAGCTTTTAATATGAACAAGAATATTTATTTCACTTAACGTTTTAATAATTGTGGACTTAAGAACTAATACAACATTGGTGTTTGTGGAAATTGCAACACTATGTAGAAGGCATACTATTACAATGAAATTAATTCTACAGATCAGAAGTATCGCAATATATAAATAATTAGAATTGCAGAACTGTCATCAGAGACTTTAGACGTCGTGGTATGGATTCCGATGCTGTTCCGATTGCCCTCACGTGTATGAGGACCGATCACATATTGAAGTAAATGACACCCTAAATCATCTCGGCGTTTGTCCGCTATGACGAGGAACAATGCAGGATGGCAGATTGCGATCACGGCGGAAGCGTCGAACACCTACGCGGCCATCGCTGTAGCACCAATTGAAGAGGGGATCTTCCGAAAACTCTACATTAACGTACCCATTGCTACCTGAGGCGTTGGTGGTTTCTAGTAAATCCGACTGGAATCCGACTCGGTGATTTGAGAGCCAACAGTCCATCCCTCAGATGATGGCACCGAACCGTGGACGCAGACATGTCTACACTTGTTGCAGTGTAGCTCCAAGCTCGAGCCAACATTCGGTTAGGATCATACGGTCAAGATGGCGGACATCCGGCATTTATTCCGGCACTTGCTTTCATGTTTCCACGTCGTTTAACCACTACACCGACTGAATGTGGCGTACCACTGACCTGACCTGTCACACAAAGGAAGGCGCTGCTAGATCAACGTGCATGCCATCAGCTTGTAAATTTAATCACTTCTTATGGATACTTTATTTTACATTTACACCAATTTGTTAGTGATTCCAACCATTCCTTCTGGGTATTGCAATTTTGACAAAGACCTATGTATATCTCTGTTCATTTATCTTCAGAGAGATGTAAAGGAAGCACCAGGATAGTTATGTTTCAGTAGAGTTAATGAATGTAATTATCTTTCCTTTAGCTTGTTCGATGTTCGCGTTCGATGCAGTAGAAATTACAATTCGAGAGAAGCACTGTAATGCTGTTAGACCTTTGTACATGTTATGGAATATGGATTGTGCGGGCATATACCCTACGTTTTACATTATTGGCATTCTGTAGGGCTTCGCTAGATCCATCAGTATATTCCCATCACCGCAAATCAGCACGTGTCATCGCAGGGACTAAGGGATGGTGTAAATCACGGAGGAATTATGAGTAATTGATCGACGCATTTGGCGTGCTGGGATATATCCTTCGTTATAACAAAAGAGTTGGTAATTACGAAATGGGGAATTGTATCACCAGATTACCTGGAAGACTCTAAATAATTAATATTCTGTTTCAACAGTTCCTACGGCAGTGGATTTTTGAAATAATTGTTAGTAGTGAATATTTAAAATTAAATTCGTCTTGTGTTTCACTTCACCTTTAACAAATATCAAGGGTGTGAACTTTATATAGTAAAAAGTTTTATAATGTTCTTTTAGAAACGTGGATAAAAGTTCTCGACGGCAATCATTAACCAATGCGTATTAAAACAATATTTTGTATAACATTAATAGGGTAGAAAGACGAAAATAAAATACAAAATTAAAATAGTTCGTATTCATTACAGTTGTAAAAATGATATATTAAAAGTATTAATATTAGTTGAATAAACATTTATTGGAAGATTGAGAATCAAATGATCTTTGGCATCGTTGCTCCAAGATAATTGTGAAGTTGAAATGAAATTCATGATACTGCTAGGAAGATACAATTCTGAATTAATTGAAATATTTAAAAGTCATTTTCTTTCATATTAAACGTACAGTTAGGAAAAAGGAGTAGGTTGACCAGATCACAGTTTAAATCATGACATATTACAGAAATACGGGAATGATGGAATAGTGGAATATTGAAAATGAGGGGTAGTTGAAATTGATCGTAAAATCCATAACAGACTGCAAATAATTAATTGTATATCTTCTTGAAATTTAATTCACAGATGAGTTAAGGCAAACAATTTTATTTGAGGGATATTTAAAGAGAAATTTATCTTGTAGTATAACAATATCTTGCGGTGATAAAATAAACGTGAATTTCAAATTTGATGTGGATTTGATTGTGCTTTTGTATGAAGGAGTAGTTTACTCCCTTGCATTCTTTCACTTGAATTTAAGAATAGTCGTCTACAGAAACGCATAAAATTATTATATAACGGCTCCCAAAGAAAGTTCAATCTGAACGATAAATGTCAGGGTGTCAGACTGATCAACAGGATAGATTGATGTCGTCTTTTCAGGCGCATCAACGGATATAATCATGATTCTCGTAAGTGTATTGCATGTTTTTTGCACCAGAGGTGGCGGAGATTTCCGCAGGATGATGAAATCCGGCGCCTACCTGCACGTCAGATTGCAGGGTGTCCCCTTGCAAGTATCTCCTCCAGCGGAGTGGCTCCCCGACCGGAACAAGTTCAAAGCTCTCTACTGATAGTGGATGGAAGTGTAGGTGAGAGCACATAGATTGGGGAAGGAAAGATCGTGCTCTATCCGTTGTTTCTTCAAGGCTGCGCCTGAATTCGATCTAGCTCCTTTATACAGTGTCGAAAATTCACCACAGTTCGGAGTTGAATCCTAGAACCTCCCGGTCAAACACCGCAATGGTAACAATTGACAGAACGTGCCTAACAGTGAAACGCGTAACAGGTATCAATGTAAAGAACCCTCCTTCATTTGATTCGGAGATGTACTGCAAAGTTGACATGCTCCGGTTTTACATATTTTTCTCATTACATCAGTTTGTCTTAATCAGTATTTTCTCTACCCATTAGTATTCTTTGCTATACAAGAACAACTGTGCTGAGATTAAAAGGGTAAAATTAATTAAATTATGTTGCTTGACACATCATAAAATGAGTTTGACCAATATTGCACAGAACTCCAACATTGATTGCCCAAAACTCAATTTTGATTATAGAACAAAATAAAAATAATCCTTGAAATTTACATAAATGTACATTTATTTACTACTTTAATATTACAGAAATTAAAAAATATGAGAAGTGTAGATAATATTGAAAATAAATATTATAAAAGTTATTGTTTGAACATTAGCAGTTTGATGTAAGCTACGTACGTCAACTCATGGCCATATTGGAATATGTAAGAGAGAAAATATTAAGAACAAATAGAATTAATTACCCCGATATTGTGATTATAAATGACGAGATATGTCAGAAAATAATTTATCTTCGTGGTCATGACCTTCCTGATCCGTTTCGGAGAGAGACTCGTGAAGAACTGATATGCGACTGGTACGACATAGTTTATTAGATCTTTGATTGGACTTGGAGATTTGAATTTTACAGGGAAACTCATTTGTGCGAGATCAAAAGTGTGTTTCGTTCTACGTATTTTACACTTAGTGACATTTACTACACTCTAAGTCTCTTGTTCTGAGAGTGAATGTTTAAAGCATTTTCATGAATGATCCTTAGTAAGTTTCAAACATGCAATTTTACTAACATTCACTGCAACCGTATCGCCTTCAGTGAATTCTCTATTTCATATTTTTTCCACGATTGGTTGTGCCGAAACAAAGTCTGGTAGCTTCATTTCTTTAACCATGAATGGATGTTTGTGTCTTGATTCTGATATTACAATAACCCACTCTGAAGGAGTAACGCATATTTCTGGATGATTTTTCTTTCTACATTAAGGCCAAAGTCTCTATCGCAAGGTAAATAGATGTGTACTGACACCCATTTGTGATCCGTAGTTTTAGGGGGTTAGATAACTGTTGCTCTCAGCCTTTTAATTGTTGTCATGATCTATTTCAGCGGGTAACAAGGAGAACTTATATCACCAAGTATCATGTATTAAAACAGACATCTTTACTCGTTTGTGGTTGCGTAGAGTTTAACTATTAAGACATGTGAAAGAACCCAATTTTTCTCCAAATAACCCTAAGAGATACACCGACATTTTTGTCAATGTCGTCCAGTGTTCTAACGCTTTTAATACTTAACTGTCGTGACTGAAAGAAAGGCGAAAAGTCTGGCGGTTCTGTGTGGATATGTATACAAGCAGAGTGCAGCAGTTAAACTGCATCTAATAAACCATTAACGAACGACATTTTAATAAATATTTTAATGTTTAAGCGTGATTTAATTTCGACTATGGTTCCACTTTTGTCTCTTCTAAAGTATTTTGTGTGTTCTGATTGGCATTCTATGGAATTCCGCATGAAAAACATGCATCGCAATGGTCGGCGAAACTGAATTCAGCTCATGAAACTGAGTCGGAATTTATTTACTTATTTTATTACAGATTACAAAACTCTCATGCACGTTTTCTACTAATACATATGAATTGGGTCATTCTCGTATTAAGAAAAATTTCTCTCAACACTTCGCGATAAAAGTAACAGAAAAAAAAGAATGTAAACACTTAATCGAATCTAAGGTTAGACTTACGACTACGTGCAACTTTCTTTATGATTCACCCTCATGAGAGGTGGTTGTTGATGGAGGGGGAAAGGGCACCGAAGGGATGGGGGAAAGAATCCCAAAACTTCGGCTGCTCGTCTTGCGCGACTTAACAAGATCCGTTGCGCTGCGCTAATGGGCCTCTTCGCAAAGCCCGTGCAGTTCCTGGCGTCCCTTCGCTCGGTCTTGGCGTGTGCACACTTCGCCCGAGCGAGCGAGACATTCGTGCGAGCGAGACATTCGAGAAGGGAGGCACGGCTTCAGAGGGTAATGGTTAACGGTTGAGTTCTTAGGTGGTTGTAACGGTAGCAGTAGAGAGCTTCTGTATGTAACGGTTACCGTCGAGTGTGTGCACCACTTCACCCGAGATCTTTCTGTGCCTCGACGCCCGAGGAAGTGCGAGCGAAGAATTCGAGGAAGGAGGCACGCTTCCAGAGGGCTTATGGTTAACGGGCGCTTGCAGTTCTTAGGTTGGTGTAAACGTTAGCAGAGAGAGAGCTTCTGTAATGTAACGTTTACCGGTCGAGTGTGTAGCACACTCACCCGAGATCTTTCTGTGCCCTCGACGCCCGAGGAAGTGGCGAGTCGGAGAAATTCGAGAAGGTAGGGCACGGCTTCAGAGGTTTGGTTAACGGTCGAGTTCTTAGGGTGTAACGGTTAGCAGTCAGAGAGCTTCTGTATGTAACGGTTACCGGTTCGAGTGTGTGCACACTCACCCGAGATCTTTCTGTGCCCTCGACGCCCGAGTAAGTGCGAGCGAGACATTCGAAAGCAAGGGTAGGGCACGGGCTTCAGAGCGGTTATGGTTAAACGGTCAGAGTTCTTAGGTGGTGTAACGGTTAGCAGTAGAAGAGCTTCTGTAATGTAAACGGTTACCGGTCGAGTGTGTTGCACACTTCACCCGAGATCATTTCTGTGCCCTCGACGCCCGATGTAAGTGCGAGCAGACATCGAGAAGGGAGGCACGCGCTCAGAGGGTAATGGTTAACGGTCGAGTTCTTTAGGTGGTGTAACGGTTAGCAGTAGAGAGCTTCTGTTAATGTAACGGTTACCGGTCGAGTGGTGCTGCACACGTCACCCGAGAATCTTTCTGTGCCCTCGACGCCGAGTAAGTTGCGAGCGAAGATGATTCGAGAAGGTAGGCACGGCTTCAGCAGGTTATGGTTAACGCGTCGAGTTCTTACGTGGTGATAAACGGTAGCAGAGAGAGCTTCTGTAATGTAACGCGTTACCGTCGAGGTGTTGCACACTTTCACCGAGTGATCTTTCTGTGCCCTCGGACGCCGAGGAAGTGCGAGCGAGAAATTCGGAGAAGGTAGGCACGACTTCAGCAGGGTTATGGTTAACGGTCGAGTTCTTAGGTGGTGGTAACGCGTTAGCAGTAGAAGAGCTTCTGTATGTAACGGTTACCGGTCGAGTGTGTGCACACTTCACCCGAGATCTGTTCTGTGCCCTCGACGCCGAGAAGTGCGAGCGAGACATTCGAGAAGGGAGGCACGGCTTTCAGAGGGTAATGGTTAACGGTCGATTCTTAGGTGGTTGTAACGAGTTAGCAGTAGAGAGCTTCTGTAATGTAACGGTTACCGGTCGTAGTGGTGTGCCACACGTCACCCGAGAATCTTTTCTGTGCCCTCGACGCCCGAGTAAGCTGCGCAAGCGAGATATTTCGAGAAGGTAGGCACGGCTTCAGAGGGTTATGGTTAACGGTCGAGTTCTTAGGTGGTGTAACGGTTAGCAGTCGAGTGCTTCTGTGGTGGAACGGTTACCTATCGAGTGCTTCGGTGGAGTAACGGTTAGTGGATGATCGTATCGGTGTAGTAACGGTTAGTATATAGGCATGCTATATCCATGTTGTCAGGTTCAAGCCCGTGAGTTTTTAACGGTGAAACAAAACCTTCGGAGAGGTGTTAATACATCATACATAGAACCACAGATAACCTAAGCGAGCTAAGGATTGTAATCACCTAGACATCTATTTTGGCTGCGTTAGCATTTTTTCATAATGGTTTTCTTGTGGGCTTTCTTGCATGAAATGTGATTTTTTTTGCCGACCCAGGTTTGGGGTCAAAAAGCAAGGAAGTCAATGTTTTTGAGACGGCATTCAGTGTAGTCAACTCCGTCTGTGACGTATGCAGATAATCCTCGCACGAATTCTACGTTGTATTTTGGTCCGGCTTTCATTTGTCTAGACATTCTTTGGGTCATCTTTTGTACTTCTTATCATTATAGATTCTGGCAGAATTTTCACTATTTCACGAACATGGTACATTGTTTTGAGTGCTTGATTGCACATCTATCAAAATTTGTTAAACGCTAATCTCGTTATTCGATGAATGATTACCTGGCTGGAGTTTGAAACAATTTGATCCAAGAGCAAATGCACTGTCCTTCTTATTCATTGATATTCCGTGCTGCGTTTAACTTACCTCGCGCAAGATTTGTGTCCTTGAGTGCGATATGATCAGCAAAGAACCGCAATCACAATGTTGTAAAAGGATAATTCGTATTGGAAATTTCTACATCTTCTACACGCACACATGCAATAATATTGTTCCCAAAACATTTACGTCGACAATTCTCTTTTGCAGTACAAAAACTATGCACCAATCCTGTTCACCAGGTACATCTAAAGTGATAGTTGCTCTAACATTTCCAGAGAGTATAAATTTCGAATTTCTATTTCTTTCCAATTTCATTTTGAAGGTGATCGAAAATTATTAAATGCATTTTAAAGCTATAATACGCACTTTTAAATAAGAAAAATTAAAAAACAGTGGATCTGATGTTTTATCTGTCTTTCGAATGTTATTTTGTAATATAAATCTACATATTTTTGGAGATTACGTTCCATATTTATGTTGTCATACATTATTTTAGTTCTAATAAAACGGTGCACTGGAAAATTCTGGATTATATTGCCAGTGGGTCAAAAACCTGAACATCGTCACTACAATCATCAGATGATAAAATTTGTCAAGCTGAATGCATGCTACGTTCCATCTAAAAAAGTGGTAGCACGTTTCCTTGATAATGCGTCAGCCCCATTCTAAATTGAAACATATACTGCAACACTGTTTCTACACATTTAGAGACTATACTGATTATCAAAAAGAAAAATATTGTATATTTCGAAAAAACAGGTATATATAATGAATGAGTTAACATTTGTATTGTATATTTTTTAAAGACTTAATATACTTGTAAAAAAACTACATCTGCTACCGGGTCAATGAACTCCATCTCAATCAGGTTTTTTTCCAGTTTCCCTGATACATTGAGCTAATTCTGAGAAGGCCTCTTGTTTTACTTCTGGACGTAAATGTAGCTTCACTATGGGCACGTTTTGTTAAACTGTCCTTTTGCTTGTAATGGAAGAGGTAGAAGTAAGTGCGAGTTACTATTTTGTAAGCGATGCAGAAAATAAAATCTGCAGTTCGTTTACCGTTGCAAATATACTCGGGAAAGAAAATGTCTAGTTTTATCAAATGTCGCTAATCTCGCGCTTTTAAGAAATATAATAATAATAGTAATTGTTATTGTTATTATTTTAAATTTATTTTTAACTTTTTATCGTTAAAATGATGGGAAGAGATTCTGGAACTCAAGAAAACGTGCACAAGTTATATTTTCACTCATACGTCACATTCAGTTTTCTACTGTTTCTTGACTAAATAGATATAATCTAATCTAATATAATAATGCAAAAACGTGAACATCAACAGAGACTACCATAGATGTTGCATCATTTACTCTAAAATATTTCGGTATTTCAATCTGGAATTAAATATTGACAATTAAATAAAATTTGTAATTTAAGAAACTTCATTTTTATTTACAGAGTAATAGGAATGAAGTTTTAAATGAAAACAAACAATCAAACATCAAGAATAAAACCGGGACGGATTTTATTAATTTTTTGAATATTACAAAAACAAATTGTATTTAATATGCATAATGTGGTTTAACCTTGTTAAATATCCTAAGTCAAACTTCGAAACTGGGATCAGTTTTGTGCAAAGAATTATTACAGCTCTAGTGTTTATACATACTATTGTCTTCTGTTAACTACTATCAACACCCTTCTCACAATAATTTATTTGTTTTGGATATTTTTTCCAGCATCCGAGGAATGCCGATTTCGGCTATCCACGCCTGGTGCCCACTATGTCCCTCATGGGGACGCATATTAACCTTTACAGTAGATACACATGCGGGCTCCTCGCTCTGCGGTTAGCATACTCTCAAGGCCTTTCGCGACAACACACATACATGAGAGATAAGGGATAAATAAGCATGTCTAAAGCGGGACTCAAATCCGCAACCCTTCAGACCGAGTCTCTATGTAACCACACGCTCTGGCCACCTCGGTCGCCAAGTCGGCAGCACCTTTCCTGCTGGATTAATCGTCTTTAAACGAAGGGCTTAGTATTGGAGTTTTATATTAAAATAAATTTGATATCCATGTGTATCGTAATATCTTATTTTAATTTCTGGTTGATTTTAAGATGTCTTTCGATACTTACCCGTATCTATTAACCTCTTTGAGCATTGTGTACGTACACCTATTTTTATTTTTCAACGCGCACAGTGTACATTCAGACTTCGGCCTGTTAGAAGGAATATGTGGTTTTATTATATACTCAGGAAACAGGAAAGAATTTTAAAAAATCGACACCGTTTAGATTTTGTCAGAAAATGCAAGTATTGGATTGCGTAATTCCACCTATTTTTATACTACGCCTACTGACACATTGCGTCGCTTACGACACAGTTGTCGTCATGCAAGAGTCTTCTGCTCGGGCGGTAGGTAGCCTGCGACCCAAACCGCAGAATAATGACGGGGAGGCGAGCAAGAGGCGAAATAGGGGAAGTGAGATGGGGAGGAGGTCACCACGCGCTGCAACGTTGTCACCGCTCAACTCTTCCGGGAAGGAGAGTCTGGCCCGGTTTGCACAACACTCGCCTGTGTGTCCTGAACCCACACCTCCGCCACTACAGCACGTGTGCCCTACTTTTGTTAGCAGCTGAGTAGGAAGTATACAACATTTGAGCTCGAAACAAGTTTAATAGAGGAAGTTTCATTGCCTCTAGAGGAACTAGGATTTTTGCGGGTTTCTGCGGGAAGGACAGTTTGATAAGTAATCTATCGAAGATTTGCACCCACACAAGAAAACGTAAACAGTTACTTGGTTAGCTTGTTATTCCTGTAATTTATGTTGAAAAGCGGCTAATTAGATCGTAATTTTTGTGAATTAACAATTTCGGAATTATCTACGCAGCACTTAGAAAACTAATTAGAAACAAGTAAAGGAAAAATTGTACACAAATTATTTGTACGAAATTTCGTGTGTTGACTAGAAACCTCGCCTAACATGACTAGGTAGCATTGTACTTCACGACATCTAGTCCCTCATGAAACCTTAAATGCTACCATGAGACCTTGAATCATGTGAATTACCAACCGTTGCCATGGTGACTACTTTTTCTGGTAGCGCTCACATACATATAAGCATACAATGAGGCACAAATTTAATTTAAATAATTACTGATTAGTTAATTTGAATTGAATTGAATTTGCCTTATTTTACGTGGCGAGACTCGGGCCATCAGGCCCGCTCTTCCGTCTGACCACGCAATTTCGCTACGCTCCTTTCACCAACTAGGAGAGAAAGGAGGTATTTCTTGGGCGAGAAACAGGCGATTTTGAATTTAGTTCAGAGGCGTCATTTAGGCTTGACGATCTTTTACATGCAAGTAAATCTACGAACATGGGACAGCCAGCTTTACTTCCCCTCCGAAGGAAGGCGAGGAAGGATTTTTCGCCTTTAAAAATCCACGGCTTCGATCAGGTTTGAACCCGCTAACTTGGGTACAACAGTCCAGTACGCTAACCGTTACACCATCGCCGCCATAGTTAGTTTAGTTAAAAAGGGAAATAAAAATGTTGAAGTCCATAAACCTTTCCTAATAATTTTCTCATCTTAATAATTATTAGTGTAACATTACCCACGCGGCAAAGCAGAGGAGATATTTCTAAAACCACGTGTTATTATGCATCACGTCGAACCAAACGCGTTTAATATCAAACATTAATAAATTTATAAGAAAGGCAAAACTTATAATTTGTACCTTCAAGGGCATTGTTTACCACCATTACGGTCCTGTGAATGCAATCATTTTGGCGACTCACGTGTTTTGAATTGGATGTGCACGGGAACGCATAGACCCAAGCGGAACACCAACATATGCATAATTATCTCAATGCCCCTTCATCTGCACATACATCAATGTAATGCATCTGATGTAATGTTTCTTGGCCACTCGCCTGTGAGAGACAAGATGCTGTGGCATACTAGAACATAGGTCAATGTAGATCTGACGCAACAGGTCTGCATATAAGCTATTGTAGGTGATTTCTAGCAAATATACCAAATTTCATACAATTAATTTGTGTACAAATTTTCCTTTTTTTATTAATTCTTATTATTCCTTCAAAAGAACGTACCACGTAGATTATTCCAAAATGGTAATTTCACCGCAATTCATATTTTATTACCCGCATCTGAACATAAAAAAGATACAATCTCGGCATTAAATGCACAAAGTACATGTCACAAAATTTACCACCCCGGTGACGTCACAGCAGACGTTGGACACATAGCGCCTCGCCAAGGACTGAAAATGAGTGAAGGTGAAGGCTTCACCACCTTAAGGACAGGGCAAAGGGCTCTCCAAGAGCAAGATGTTTCTGCGATCAACACCAGGCGAATGCCGGTGCAGAACCCTAACAACCGGCCACGTACCGCGCGCGATCATTTCTTCTATTTCCTTGTCCTAACCTCATACCTTACTCACGCATACACTGACATGCACTGCTCTACCACACATGGGAGACAGGACGGTAGCTTAGAGCTTGTCCCGGGTGGGGCGGAGCATCTCTGGTGTGAGTCACGTGATTGGGGAAAACCCTGCTAGCCGACAGTAGGTCAGCGCCGAATCTCGTTATCGTACGGGAGATCACCGCCACTTCCCGAGAAAAAAAAACCTTGCACTACACTTAAGGAACTAATAACCTCAGTTGTTGACGCGCCCAGAATCACTCCCAACCAACCAATCATCGAATGGCAATGGAAGCGAAATCACGCGCCTGCCGTATTCACACATGAAGGAAATGATTGCCACAGAAGCAGAATCAGTGCAACAACACCACTCCCATAGATAGCGCAGTCTTCAATCAAATGCTCTAAAATTACAAATATGCACATGGGCGTGTCCAAGTATATTACGAAATATTTTAAAAATTGTATTGCACATTCCAAATTGAAAACTTAGGGTTCTTTTTTTTTTAAATTTATTTCCTCCTGTTCGGCATTGCTGCCTTTCAGGGGTGTTAACATTTTACAAAATAATGTTTGGACATTCGTTCTCACGCTAATTGTCCTGAATATTACAGGCTGTGTTCAGTGTATAATTTTGAAAAAGCTGATTTGATGTGAATTTAGTTTTATAATTCATTGAATAAAATATTTTTATGTTAATATTTTATATAGCTGTTGCGAATTAATGGCATTGAGTATTTACGGAGGTCTGAGTTTATCCTTAGGAAATCGTGAGCATATTGTATTTGGTTTCGGTACTTTTTGCCGACTTTGAAGTTAGGCGTGGCTGGAGATTCTCAGAGAGTGTCAAAGAACTTGTTCGAGGATTTTAGGATGTGTTCTTGTATTGACTCAATTCGTAATTCTCTGTGAAGTTGTTTGTTACTAATAAACCAGGGAGCTTTAGTTATTTTTCTTAAACATTTATTTTGAATGATTTGTAGTTTTTTGATTGTGTTTTTGCTGCATTACACCAAATTGGGCTAGCATACGAGATTGTTGGTTGTAATATCAATTTATAAATTGTAGTTCCACGTTCAATACTTAAAGCTGATTTAGAGTTTAGAAGAAGATAAAGTTTTGCAATTTTTGCGTACGTTTTGTTTGCAACTGTTTTAATGTGGTCTCTCTAAATTTCTGCTTTTTCTTTGGTGATTCGTCTGATCGTAGTCCACATTGGTCTGCTATTGGGGTGAATTTGTTTTATTATATTATGATATTCAGAATAACGAAATTGTTGTAGTCTGTATTTAATTATTCTGGAAGTTTTATTCAAATTTACTTTAAGGTCTGGTCTCCTAGTCGTTTGCCAGTTTCGTCTAAGGTTATGTTTAGTTTTGATTAGATTTACTATTTTCAATGGAACTGGTTTTCTAGTTTTAATACTTGCGGAACATTGTGTTGTTGACTGTTAAATTGTTTTCTGTATCGATTGTGTTATATGCAGCACTTGCATATCTAATTCATCGTTTGTGTGAATTTTACTATGGTATATTATAGTGTTGTCTATCAGCTCCTTAAACTTATTCCAATTAATTTGTCCCAAGGTTTCGTTACGTTGTAATATTTGAGCTAACGGTGAATCGGAGCAGTTTATTTTGATAATTACTGGCGAGTGATCCGAGTATATTTCCGGCAATACTGTTTGAATCAAGGGCAAATTGAAATTTTTGGTCAATACTATATCTAGTATATCCGGAATCACATTACTGTTATATGAATAGTGTGTTGGAGATTGAGGGACCAGAATATGAATATCCTTGGATACTGCGTATGTAAATAATTTTGTGCCGTGCTTGGAAGCGATATTGCATCCCCATATTTAATTTTTAATGTTTAAATCACCAGCTAATAGAATACTATTGGTATTATTTAAAAAAATTCATTATAAGATTTTAATGGGAATTTTTTATTTGGTAGTTTATATGCCGCAAATATTTCATAATTATTGCTGATAAGTTCTGATTTATTGCAGATTCATTCGTAAGCATGGAGCAATATCGGTGTTGCGACATGATGCTATCTGTGATGATTAGAAAATAATGTTGAAAAAATTATATGATTTAACTCTTTCCAGTTTGTCGATATTTCTGGCGACAAAATGATGAGATGTTTGTACCTGATTTGAATCCACACATCTCATTTCCGTGTATGTAACTATGTTGATTAGATCGGATAACTCAGAATTGTGCTTTTAATGCAAAGTGATTATATAATTATTTTTCTTTCCAGGTAAAGACAAATTCACTACTCAACATGGTGCATGAAACCAGTGGGTAAGTTCTGATATTGTTACTCTAAAATGTCTGCGTTCTTTGAACGTTTGCGTAAAAAATCAAAAAGCGAAATTTAGAGTAAATCTGCGATTTAATGAATTGTGACACATTCTGTTTGAAATGCACACCGAATACTTTTATTTCGTTCATTTAACCATGGTAGTTATTTTATTGTACTATCTAAAAAGCAACTTCTTTCAATTGATTCGTTTTTTAAATACCACGTAAATTTATCAGAAAATGGAAATTCTATAACATTCGAAATGTGAATATTTCACTCATATGGTGAATGATAAATGCCAACTATGTGTCAGCCAAATGAAGCGTTTTAGTGATGACTATTTTCGATCACCCACTTAATACGGATATTCTAGAAATTGAACTCTTAAATTAGTTGTACAATCTAACATAACAGGATTAAAACTATCTAAAAATCAGACAAACATTCGTCTATGGTAAGTCAAGTACAAAATTCTGCATCGAAATCCAATTCTGAAGCCGAAGAAAATATAACAGAATGAAATTTTAATAGAGTTCGTTTAGTTTCATTTCCTTTGTTCTTTAACATTTGATTATTGTGATTATCAGATTTTTATTAATCATATATACAAACGAAATATTGAAGAACTATTTTTATCTATGTAAGATTCATTGTTTTACAAGAAATGACACAATGATATTAGGTCGTTTCATCATTTAATTCTATCTCCATCGTATAATACGTGATTTTTGTCTGAAATGCTATTTGAAAAGTTTAATTTGAGTTCATCAATATGTTTATGTGCGATATAGTCACACTTAAATATATTTCTCCACTACACGATATGAAGAATTATCGATTATTTTCAAACCCCTCCTGATAATTTATATGTAATAAATGAGAAAATTTTTAAACTGGGTATAAATAGTGCATTTTAGTCCAAGAACGGAAGTACGTTCATCAGGGTACGAGTACGATTGATTGATTGATTAGTGTTTCGAGGCGCGTCAAGTGCTAATGTCATTAGTACCGTAAGTCTTGGACATGTTTTCCTCGGGAGGGGACAGTGATTTTTCCTTGTTTGATGCTGAGATCCGGCGCCGAACTACCGTCGGCTAAATCGTGGGATATCTTCTTGGGCTTTCCCTGATCCAGGTATCTCCCACCAGCGGGACACCACCACAGCCGAGACAAGCTCTAAGCTCCCGACTGGTCTCCCAGAAAGTGTGTAGTAAGTGTGAGTCTAAGGGGTGAGGATAGGACATGGAAGAGGAAAGAAAGGTCGCGAACGGCCTGTGACCCAGTTGTTAGGAAACTTCTCAGGCATTCGGCTGGTATTGAAAGGAGTACGTACTGAAAACTACCAATCAGTGCAGCAGGCGGTGTCCTTCAGACAGCGACTGAATGCGACACAGCTATCTAGCTAGAGTCGAACCGGCACCGTCGGACTCGAACCTAGAACCTTCTAGTCAGAGTCACTGCAGTGACAGTGGATGCCCTGAGGTACTTCTTCTAGTACGAAGAGACCCAATTGGAATTCAACCACTCTCTGGAGAATTTTAGCTGCCGGCTGCTCTAAGTTTTCTGAGCTACGCTAATGAATAGGAAGTAAATACTGTAGTAGTTCAAAGAGGCCAACGGATCGGGCCTGTTCTCACTCATACGAACGAGAATTGCATAATATTGCAATATTTAAACGCGTGTGTTACAGTGGTACTTTTTCCACTACAGTTAATGTATGAATGAAAGAATATTATAGATGCAGATGTCGATCCTCAAAAAACACAATCTTTGACACGTTTATATAGCACTAGATAACATTTTTTGACGCATTAGTTTGGAGATTGTAGTCTAGTAGAATATTTTGTTCCATTATTTTTTTACACTTAAGAGTAAAACTGTTTGGGACGCGAGGTTTGAAAAAAACCCTTTGTTTATAACAAAAAAGAACAAGAACAGATACATATGTATGCTAAAGTGTGAAATTTTCATATGCATTTTTAAAAAACATCTAAATAAGATCTTATTCCATTTATTACTTAAGTACTTACTTTGTGTCGAAAGTGTCGAAAGTATATCTATTTCCATTTGTTTTCTAAATTTACTTACAAAAATATTATTAAGGTACTTATCTAGTATGTTGTCAATTATAGTATTTATTATGTAGTTCCATCTATTTTAAACGGTATCCAAAACCATTGTATCCTATATTGGACTTTAAACGCAATGTTAATACATTCCCTTCTTGAATTTCCCTCTTGTGGTGCTAAAATAGCACGTACTTTCTGGCTTCTAGTATCCTTTAGTGATGATGTATTCAAAACTTTAAATGAAAATATATTTCTGGCATTGAGTTCAATGTATAAGGTATGCAGTGTATTCACAAACATATCGAATGAGTCTTTTAGTTTTACTATGGCCTTCGTAAGTAGTATGCGAGAAACTAAAATAAAAGTTAATAAATAATGACATGATAGCGTTGGCAAATACATGCAAATATATAGAAAAAATATATTAGTAATTATTGAACCCTACTACTACTACTTACTTAAGTATTGTAATATAAAAAAGTATTAATTTATATCAAGGCAAACGAAACGCATTCGTCGTTATCGCCTTCTGTTATCAATGTGGCTTTACAACAACCAATAATGACCGCTCATCTATTCCTTTTCACACTTAAGAACTCAATTCAAAATGAAATGACGTAAATATAATAATATTAATAATAGCGATCATAATAATACCTATAATATACAAATTCTAACTTGCGTAGAATCCTACAACATAAATTGGGAGCTGGCGACTGAAGGATAGCAATCTTTATTTCATATTTGTTTCAAATAAGTTTTAAATAATTTTTTAAAGATGAGTTTGTAAATGTATAACAAAAAGCCTCCAACGTAAGAAACGAACAATAAATATGAAATAATATTCCCATTCTAACTTACGAACTTTCAATATACGTACTAAACATTCTAATTGCCTCAAAACATCTAAAATTACGATCACGAAGCGCAGGATTTTCGGAGCGGCGCGCAGTTCGACGCTCAATTACTCAAAAATTCTTCATACTTTCGAAAACTTCAACATGATCTTATTTAAATATGTGTTTTTGATGAACTCATTGTATTAAGAAAAAATATATCTTCATAATTATAGTTGTAAAAAGACTCCAAAAAAAGGCATTTTTTCAATTTTCGAAAAATTATAGCTTTCAACCATTATGACTTCTGCACTATGTTCTTAAACGTTCTTCAGGCTGTCCAGCAACAAAATGTAATCAAAACTGAACTTGTCATTTTTTGAAAATGTCTCAGGGGCTTCATTTAAAGTACCCTCCAAAATTTAAATACGAATTTCAAATTGAAAGGGCTGCGTCATTAGCCAGATCGATTGGGGGATAACACTTTTGGAGAAAATTGGCTGAACAGTTTAGCCCCTAGCGTTCTTCACAGATAGACGGACTGACAGACATTTTGTCATCAATCAATTTTTTGGTATCAAGGACTCATAAAACATGGATTCTGGCCACACAACGTTCATGGGATTTCCCCCCTAAATTTAGAAACTAGATTTATCTACTTTTTCGTTACCAGAGCCGTGCAAAGTGTTTTTCAGCCGAAAATTCGCTGTTTTTTCGCTCAGAATTACATAATTTCCTCTTCAGAAGTTTCCTCTTAAACGCGAGAGAGATAAAGCTAGTCTCGTTTTGTTGTTTGAGCGCGTATGTGACTTGCCGAAAATCAAAAATCATATTTCTCTTCAAAAGTACGAAACATAGTTCGGGTTATCGTGCTTATTGACTCACATATTAATGAGGAGTTTAAGACATATGTGTGATCAATATTTCATTTGATTTGACACCATTTTATCACTTTCGCTTCTTAAAAAATTCCTTCTTAAGGGGAAGAAAGTAAAAATGAGTTTCATTCAATACGTCAATTTGGAAATAAACTCAAATGTTATACTCGAGAATTTTTGACGTACTTGGACTTTGTTTCTTGCCATCACTTCATAAAATGTAAAGATTGAACTGCTAATGAGAATTACTCATGGTAATGCGTAATGAACATTTTGTAAATAAACTGCAATGAACATTGCTGAAATTTCCAGTGCGTAAGTTTGCATGACCTTTTTCGACTGTCAAGTCCAAAACCATGTTTAGAGATGCAACTACTCTAAATAAAACTTCCCAAATGAGAGTTCTGCTGTGACTTACACAGCAATTGTGCAATAGTTTCTCGTTTGCAGCTTTCAATTAAGCGCGTTTAGAGCGCGAGGAGACGAACTCTGACCGCTTGTCTGTTGATTCCGGCGGCGAGCGGCTGGAGTGCGGGGGAGAGGCGGAGAGCGGCGCCAGCAGCCGGTAATGAACCAGACTCTCGCTAGCTTCGCAATCTCCGGCTCGGGCCAAGGGGGAAACAGCTGCACAATGGAGATGTTGGTGTCGAGGGCGGCCGCGCCAAGGGGATGGCGCTGGCGTCGGCGGCGGTAGGGGCGGTGGCGAGGCTGAGGCAAGGCGGGGAAAAGACCGAGGCGAGTGGGTGAGTGGGAGAAGCGACAGTAGTGCCCGAAATCCTGCCAACATTGAGACTCGAAACCAAAAACTCTCGGTCAGAAGCACGGCAAGGAACGAACAGTCAACTGATGCTCTTAGCCACCTAAGCCGGTTTGGGAGCGTTTGTGGAGAAGGGTTCAGCCGCAGAGGTGAGAATGGCAGCTGAGGGACGGTGCGGGGGCGAGGGCGGCTGCGGTTTCGTGGTGAGGGCGGCGACAGAAGCGGTAGTGGTGGCGGCGCATGCAAGATCAGCTGCGTTTGGGATGGGCCACGGACGACAGCGCGGGGGAGGATGTGGGGGAAGGGCGGCGGAGGTGGGGGATGGCCGAGCGGAGGGAAGGTCGACGCTGGTGCCCCTAGCGGAAGAGAAGCGGATTCCGAAAGGGAGAGCTGATTGTAATCGGGCGCTGTAGCATCAGCCTTCGCGTGTTCAGACAGCAAGTGCCTTTCGCACGAACTGAAT